TTTTTTTTTTTTTTTTGGGTGGCTAAGCAAACTGCTATCTGTTGAATCGCGTATGTTGGTGACATTGGTGCTATCAAATCTTTGGTAATCTCAAGGCGGTATGCTAAATGATGGTTATCATAAAAATAAGATGAGACTGGGCAGAAAGATGTTACTTAAATATGACATCGATATTCTAGTAAATTTTATCGTAGAAGTATAGTTTTTTTAACAAACCTTAAACTACGTATTATAAATTTGGACTGCTATTCTTAAATAATATGAATATTTCTGTAATTCGATTTTCAACGCTGGACCTTTCCGAAAATCGTAAGGAGATACACATGAACAAAAATCATCTAGAGTTTTAGAAAGTCCCATCATTTCCTTCTGCCTTCTTAATCACCCGATCTTTTTTTCCCCTTTTTTTCTGGAATACCCAATTTCAACATAGAGTTCTTCTTATATGTATAGTATTTACTTAAATAATTTAAGAAAAAATTGATGAATATACTAATTAAATATTAATAAATTAATTTGATTGACAAAACTCATGTTAAAACTTAATATATAATTTAATAAATTTAAACTCTTGAAAGGCGTGATCTGAATTTTGTAGACTAACAATATAAGTAAATCTTTTTAAATATGATGGTAAGTTATTACCACTGAGAAATCGATCCAAAGTTAAGGGTACTTATGCCTTTTCATCCATCTCTTGAACGTCCATGGTTACGAGCTTTTGCACTATGCACATGCATGTACACCTGAACATTTCCCCACCCCACACACCCACAGGAAAAAGGCAGAAGAGGATTTGACTTCGTTTGATTGAGAGAAGAAAAAAAATAAAAAAAGGTAAAGAAAGAAAGAGTGAAGGAAAGAGAAATATTCAATCTGATTGAATGCAGTTTTGACGTCCGCAAGAACTCTCTCTCTAACTTTCTCGCTCTAAAGAGGACAGCGCAGAAACTCAGAGAAAACTCTTCTCTCTACTGAAACTTCTTCACTTTGACAAAGCAAAGTCCCCAAGCTAATTTGAGCTGTGGATCTTGTTCTATGCACTTTATTGCGCGATTTAGGGCTCGATCAAGTGAACATGTAATTTATTAATCACTTGTTTTTATTTTTCTACTCTCGAATTATTTACTGTACCTAGCTTAGTTTTCAGAGGAATTTTTTTTCGTCTTTTTTATTTCTCAGTTTTCTGATTTTCGTCTTTATTTGATTAGTGAGTATGAAGTATGCTTTGTTTTTTATTTTTCTTACTGTGTTGAGATTTGAGTTTTGCTATGTTTTTATGGAAGCCAGGGAGAAATTTGACTCAATTAAACAATTTTTTTTTTCTTGCAGGGATAAGTGGATAGAGATATTTAGTTGAGCAGAAAAAGAGAGGCTTTGGAAGTTTAAGAGTTAAAGCTGCTTGTAGCTTGTACTTGGTTAAAGCTATTGATGATGCACAACAGGTTTTCTCAGCAGTGAGGGTCCTCCCTTTGGTTTGGCTCAAAATAGGGACTTTGGAATGTCAATTGATGTAGTAGGTTCTGCTTGTTGTTCTGTGTAATTCTCTTTTCAGAGTGAAGTATAAAGTCTCCAGATCTGGGGTGTTAGGCTTCATTCCGTTTTAGTTTTCTATAATTTTTTTAGTGTTTGTAGATTGTTATCTATTGCATAAAAGATATGGTGCCACCAGGACCTCCTAATCCACTTGGAGGTGCCCAGCCTGTCCCGTCTTCGTTATTGCGATCAAATTCTAGTTTATTGGGTGGTCAAGGGGGTGGAATGCCTACCCCAGGTGGTTTCCCTTCTATTGTGTCACCTCGGACTCAGTTTGGTAACATGAATATGCTAGGAAATGCTCCAAATGTTTCGTCTCTGCTCCATCAGTCCTTAGGAAATGGTGGTCATAATTCAGGGCGAGCTGATAATGGGGCCGAGTCTGATCCAATGGCCAGTGCTGGCAATGGTATGGGGTTTAATGCTCCTTCAACATCTTTTAGCTCATCGGCCATGGCAGCAAATCCAAATTCAGGTCAAGTTCAGGGACAGCGGTTTCCCAGCCATTCTGGTAACCAGATGTTAACTGACCAATCACCGTCCCAACAGCTTGATTCCCAGAACTACCAACATAATCAACAATTTCAGCAATTTTCTGCCCCTAGCAATTCCCAAACACAGCAACAGCAGCAGCAATTTCAATCCATGCGAGGTGGATTAGGAGGTGTAGGACCTGTCAAACAGGAGCCCCAAGTGACCAATGATCAAACTCCACAGCAGTTGCAAGCACTANAAGCCCTGCGAAACCTGGCAACTGTAAAGCAGGAGCCCCAACAGATACAAAGTATGAGAGGCCTTGCCACTGTGAAGATGGAGCCACAACATTCCTCACCCTCTTTGTATCTACATCAGCAACAGCAGCAGCAGCAGCAACAACAGCAATTACTTCACATGTCCAAGCAGTCCCCTCAAGCTGCAGCAGCAGCTCAGCTTTTTCACCAGCAGAGGCTTATGCAGCTCCAGCAGCAACAACAGCAACAACAACTCTTGAAGGCTATTCCTCAGCAGAGAAACCCACTTCAACCGCAATTTCAACCACAGAATCATACTATAAGGTCTCCTGTAAAACCAGCTTATGAGCCTGGGATGTGCGCCCGTCGGCTGACTCATTATTTGTATCAGCAGCAACACAGGCCTGAAGTAAGAAAACTGTGCCAGCTATATTTCTGTGCGGTCCATAACACTCTGCACCCTACCACACAGCTTCTCTGATCTTAGTTCTTTTTTTTTAAGCCCTATGATGTTACATTTGCACTACCTTTTTTTATAGGATAATAACATAGAGTTCTGGAGAAAATTTGTTGCCGAGTATTTTGCTCCAAATGCCAAGAAAAAGTGGTGCGTCTCTATGTATGGAAGTGGTCGGCAGACCACTGGAGTTTTTCCTCAGGTTGGTTGTGTTATTGGGTTTTCTTATTCAAATTTGAGTAATCTTCTTATTTAGTGAAATTACCTCTTATACGGCTTGCCGTTATGAAAAAATAAATTCTTTTTTCAGCTCTAGTAACTAATTTGGACTTGTTCCTAAAATGTTATGCAGTTTTATGCAGACCAACTTTTTCCTTGTATAGAAAATTAGAAGTAATCACTATCATTAATTTGCAGGATGTATGGCACTGTGAAATATGCAACCGCAAGCCAGGCCGTGGTTTTGGTATGTTTCTTTTGGTTTTATATCTTTTCTGTGTCAAAGATTCATTCTTCTTTGTAACTTTACAAAGCCATTATTGTTGACTTGTTTTTTCTGCACCCATTTGGTTATCCTTTCACTGTGTCATCCTAATTGGGATCTGATGTTTCTCAACTTATTCATTCAGAAGCGACCGCTGAAGTCTTGCCCAGGCTTTTCAAGATAAAATATGAAAGTGGGACCTTGGAAGAGCTACTCTATATTGATATGCCTCGTGAATATCAGAATTCATCTGGACAAATTGTCCTAGACTATGCAAAAGCAATTCAGGAGAGTGTTTTTGAGCAACTTCGCGTTGTACGTGATGGTCAGCTTCGAATAGTGTTTTCACAGCCTGATCTAAAGGTATATTGAAGAGCTGATAGCATTTTGTTTTCGACAACCATACTTGTTAATCAGTTATTAAGACATAGCACGATGCAGATGAATGTCTATTATTTTCTTTTATCTGATTTCCTTTTCGTCAACTTGGCAGATCATCTCTTGGGAATTTTGTGCTCGACGTCACGAGGAGCTAATCCCTAGAAGATTGTTGATACCTCAGGTTGATCAATGTTGCTTTGAAGTACTAATTTACGCTGATCTCTGTGTAGTCATGGTTTAACTCTAACCTGACTTGTATGCTTCTGTTTGCTAATCCGGTTTAGCAAAAACTCTTTCTTTCTTTTATATTTTGTACAAGAGCAGAGGCATGTTGTCTAGCTAAGTAGCTATTTGCTACTCAAATGAGGTCTTTATTTGTTAATGTCCCTTCTAGATATATTTGATGAGAATGTGGTATTTGATGAGGTCTTTATATATGTATTTCGAACATGGCCTGAGCATGTTTTTCCCCCCTCTAATTTTCCTTTTCATCATGACTTGGTAAAGTTTAAATGCATCTAAGAGATTTGACTTGTTTTCCTTTTTCACTTTTAATTAATGACCATCTTGTTATCAAAACAGAATAATGGTTGCTGACCATCTTACTCTCATCTCTTGAGGCTCGATCCATGGTGGTGAATTGGTTGGATCAGTTAGTGGATTGCGCTAGCCGCTATTAATCGCCTTTTCTGACTTAAATGCAAATTACCATCTATGGGTTTTCTGACTTGAAAGCGATTATGCGAATTACCATATATGGGTGTGGAGTCCATCAGCATAAATGTTGATCTATATCTGTTTTCTTAGGGATATTTTTGAGAAGGATAGCAGTGCATTGGGTAGTAGTGTTAGACCTTGCCCCTGTTAAGGGTTTGCTGATGCTATAGTATTGCAACAGTGTAGATGGGTGGCGAAAAAAATTAAATTGCCGTTTCAGCTGTTGGCAATGATAACCGAGGCCAGTGGAGCCTGAATTTTGGGGCTTTAAGTTCTGTGTCCGGAGGAAATTTGTGCTTCTTCATGCCGATATATCTTTGTAAAGTTTCCTCATATTTGTGTTTCCTGTGCTTCTGTGAGCTTTAACTTCTATATTGGTTTCTCACATCTTTTTGGCTAATTGTTTGTCTTGTCTTGATAAAGCTCCATCTTTTATTTTTTTTGGATATAGTGATTTTTGCATCCTTTTGATTTGCTTTTATGATTTTCACGCGTAGGTAAGTCAACTCGGTGCTGCAGCTCAAAAGTACCAGGCAGCAACCCAAAATGGATCATCTACTGCATCTGTTTCTGAGTTGCAGAATAACTGCAATATGTGAGTCCCTGAAATTTATGGTACAGTTTTTGTACGAAATTCTTGGGCTGACAATATTGTGCTGTGTCTTTGTGTAACGGAGCCTAACTATTTTCATTTAGCATATATATGTCACTCTATGTTGTAAAGTTATTTTCTTAGTAATTCATTACGCATTCCAGTTTTTACGTGGGCAATAATGATGAGCCATGTCTCACATGTTAGATTGCTTTTAAACTATTATTTTGTGGGTATTGGCTTCTTTGATGATCTGTGCTGGTACTTCCATTTTACAATTTCATTTTTAGCAGAATTAAGTTGGGACTGTGGATGCTAAGGTTGTGATCTTTGACCAGTCAGTCATCTGATGGTTTTAACTCATAGTGAGTTTGCTGTGAAATAATTTTTTATTTGTTTTAGTTGTGTGTATGTCTGTTAGCAGATTTAGCTCAAATTTTAATGTTACGGATTGCTGTCAGTGGTCGTGCTGCCAAGTCTTGGAAGCTCAATTTCTCCTGAAACCATAAATATGGATGTCTAGTTGATACCTGTGGTTTGTTATATTTGGATGAAGAATTGAATTGCAGTTGTGTTTGATTGTTAAAATGTCTTTATTAACTAACACGAGCGTCTTGTTGGGTTCTGAAAGCTCAACTTTCCATTTCCTGAGGAAATGAAAGAATAATGGTCAACTACCTACCCCCGGTGGTGTCCCGACCAGCTTTTGCGCACCTCGACTAATTTCACGGGGTGCCTGCTAGCTCCCACCAGCACAGGTGCCGGAAAGAACTTTATCAAACTTCTGATTTTCCAATAAATAATAAGGATTAAATATAAAATGACTCGCGTTGTTTGTACCTTTTTT